GATGAGGGATGGAGTAATGATGGATAGAGGGATGGAGGGATGATGGATTGAGGGATGAAGGAATGATGGATGGGCAGAGGAATGATGGAGGGATGGAGGGATGATGGATAGAGGGATGAAGGAATGATGGATGGATACAGGGATGATGGAATGATGGATGGATAGAGGAATGATGGAGGGATGAGGGATAGAGGGATGATGTGTGGATGGGTGGCTGGAGGGATGATGGATAGGGGGATAGAGGGATGATGGAGGCATGGATAGATGGAGGGATGATGAATGGAGGGATGAGGGATGGGGGATAGAGGGATGATGTGTGGATGGGTGGCTGGAGGGATGATGGATAGGGGGATAGAGGGATGATGGAGGGATGGCTAGATGGAGGGGTGGAGGGATGATGGCTGGAGGGATGATGGATGGAGTGATGAAGAGAGGAGAGATGATGGGAGGAATGCCATAGGACTGGATGAGGAATGATTGTGGATGATGTGTGGATGGGGGGATGATGGATGGATATAGAGAGGGATGGTGTATAGTGGCGTAAAGTGAGAATGAATGGCTGGAGGGACCACCTGAGGATGGATGGAGAGAGCATGGATGGAGGGATCGGATGGCCTATGAATGGACAGAGGGATGGTGTATGGGTGCATGGATGGATGAATGGATGGAGAGAGGAGGGATGTTGGAAGGATGACAGGTGGATGGATCTTTGGAAGGGTGGCTGCGGGTGATGAAGGGTGGCATGTGGGTGCATGAGGGGTGGCTGTGGGTGAGGAAGGGTGCTGTGTGGGTGCATGAGGGGTGGAGGAGGAAAGGCTTTATGAGCAGGAAGACAAGATGTCGGAATCATGACGCAGAGACTGATCATGGCCTGGGGCGGGGAGGGGTGTGGGGGCGGGCAGTGAGAGGACCAGACGGTAGGACAGGGGACAGTGGGGTGAGAGCAGGGCCCTGGCTGGAGCGTCACTACTCCCTCTGCCCAGGGCGAGCTCAGACCCAGCACACCCCCATTCCCCCCACTCCAGCCCAGCCCCTCTGTGAGTAGTCGGGGTCTGGAAGGCTCCGGTCTGGGAGCAGGCTGTGGGGCCTGGGGGATGAATTCTACCCGGACACAGCGTGGCCCTTAACCCCACACAGACCTATATCGGCTCTGTACTCATCTCTGTGAACCCCTTCAAGCAGATGCCCTACTTCACGGACCGAGAGATCGACCTCTACCAGGGCGCGGTAAGGCTCTGGCCAGGGGCGGGGCAGGGGGGGGGCGGGGCGCACACAGTGCCAGGGATTGAGCCCTGACCTCCGTGCCAGGCCCAGTACGAGAACCCACCGCACATCTATGCCCTCACGGACAACATGTACCGGAACATGCTCATAGACTGCGAGAACCAATGTGTCATCATCAGGTACCGGCATCCCCCTGCCCAGAGCCGCTGCATGCCCACCCGGCCCCTTCAAGCACCACCGCCTCCCCCAGGGCAGGCTGCTCAGAGCGCCACTTGCCCGGCTCCACCCTCTCCATCCTCCCCAAGCTCCCAGGGCCCTCTTTGCTCACCCTAGCCCCTTCCCGAGAGGGTGGCCGTCCCCCTCTGCCCTTGCTTTCCCCTGTCACCACCTGTGACATGGGACTTGGCGTGGTCAGGATCCTAGCAGAGGAGACTGTCTTCCTTGGGGGGGGGGTCCTGTGAGGGAGGATCAGACCCCATGCTGAGTCCCTGGAGGCGGAGAGCCGGCACTGCTCCTCTCTAGGACCCTCTGGCCAATGCTGACCTTGGCCATCCCTCCCACTGCTCTCTGCTTCCCTGCTGGAACGTCCACCCAGGGCTTGGAACGACTTCAGAGTGAAATGGTGTAGCAAGGAACAGGGTCCCAGGTCAGGATCAGCAGGCGACAAGTCAGGATTCGGGACCAGGAAGCATGAAGGCGGGCTGTCTCCCTTCTTCAGTTCAGGGCAGCCCGCTCAGCTCTCGTTGGCCCCCGGGGGACAGGCTCCTCTTGGCCCTGTGGCGGTCACCGCTGGCTCTGCAGTGGAGCCCCTACAGAGCGACAGCCCGCGGCCAGAGACAGAGCTCTTTGAAGCAACCTCTACCTTTCTCGCTCCGCCTCCCAGAAAAATCGGCCATTGAAAACCCTACAGAGCCTAGTTCTACCCTGACCTCCATGGGGTCCCCGTGAATCAGAACTAGCTCAATGACAACCGGTGTTGATTGTCCATCTGCCCTAATCCTTGAGAGCAGGGGGAGCCCTGGTAGTGTAGTGGGTTATGCGTTGGGCTGCTAACCGCAGGGTCAGGAGTTCGGAACCACGGGCCACGCCGAAGGAGAAAGATGAGGCTTTCTCCTGCCAGGAGGATTCACCGTCTCAGAAACCACAGCGGGTCATTCTACTCTGAGCTGTGGGGCAGCCGTGAGTTGGAATCAACTCGGTGGCAGTGAGTTGAGGGAGGGTTTTATCTGTCTCGTCCAGGATAGCATACTGCGAGAGGGATGAAAGAATCAGTCACTAGGGAGACAGGGCCTCTCCCACTCTCTGACCACGCCTTCTCTCATCCCCACCCCCAGCGGCGAGAGCGGAGCTGGAAAGACGGTGGCCGCCAAGTACATCATGGGCTACATCTCCAAGGTGTCCGGCGGGGGCGAGAAGGTCCAGGTGAGGGAGGAAGGGCAGAAGGATGGGCTGGGTCACCCCTCGGCGGGCCAGTTCTCCTCCCGGGTCCACGGCCCCAGCCTGATCGCTCCCACCCCCGCACCTGTCCCTACCCCAGCACGTCAAGGACATCATCCTGCAGTCCAACCCGCTGCTGGAGGCCTTCGGCAACGCCAAGACCGTGCGCAACAACAACTCCAGTCGCTTCGTGAGTCTCTGGGAGCACACACACCCCCTCCCAACACAGACATCCCCAGGGCAAGAGCCCCGTTGGAAATCCAGCAGGAAAGTCCTGGTCCTGGCTGGGAGACTCCTGCCTATGGTCCATCTGAAATTTTTTTTTTTAAGAGTCCCCTGGGGAGCCAGGGACAAGAGCAAGTGAGATCACCTGTTCCCGTAAAGACTCACCGCTTGGGAAATCCTCCGGGACCGCTCGACTCTGTCCTATGGGTTCATCATGAGCCCGGGTGGCGTAGGGGCCACCGGTTGGGCTGCTAACCGCAAGGGCAGCGGGTTGAAACCAGCACCCGCTCCTTGGGAGAAGTGCGAGGCTTTCTACTCCCTTAAAGAGGGGCAGTCCTACCCTGCCCGTCCTATAGGGTCGCGAGGAGTCAGAATTTACTCTGGGGCAGTGAGAGGGCCACTGTGAGTCAGAATCAAGTTGAGGCAGTGAATTGTTTGTGTGTTTGACTGAGCCCTGGTGGCAAAGTGAAGTCAGCACTGGACTGCTAACCAGGATTTCAGCAGCTCAAACCCACCAGCCTCCCCGAGGGAAGACGATGAGGCTGCTCCGATAAAGGTTGAGTCTCTGACACCCAACCTGTGGGTCGCAGCCCCTTTGGGGGTCGAACGACCCTTTCACAGGGGTCGCGTGATTGATAACAGTAGCAAAATTACAGTTGTGAAGTAGCAATGAAAATAGTTTTATGGTTGGGGGGGTCACCACCACATGAGGAATTGTTTTACAGGGTCATTTGAGAACCACTGCAATAGAGGGGCGCTATGAGTAAAAATCAAATCAATAGCAGAGGATTGGGGGGACGTGGGGGGGCATTGGTTGAGCCTTGGCATCTATTAGGGACTGCAAACTACAAGGTAAAATCGTTTTATGGTTGGGGGGGGGGTCACCACCACATGAGGAATTGTTTTAAAGGGTCATTTGAGAACCACTGCAACAGAGGGGCGCTATGAGTAAAAATCAAATCAATAGCAGAGGATTGGGGGGACGTGGGGGGGCATTGGTGGAGCCTTGGCATCTATTAGGGACTGCAAACTACAAGGTAAAATCCCATGGAGCCAAGTAGGAGCCCTGGTGCTGCAAGATTATCAGTTCAAAACCACCAGCAGCTCCTTGGGAGAAAGATGAGACTTTCTAGTCCTGTAAAGAGTTAGTCTCAGAAACCTACAGACAAGGGCAGTCCTACCCTGCCCTCTCGGGTCACTATGAGTCGGAACCGACTCAATGGCAGTGAGGACGGAGCCAATTCCAACTGTAAGTCAGCAGACCAGCGCTTCCCCTGCAGCGCCACTGCCAGGTGGGCAGTTCAAATCCACCAACTGCTCCTCAGGAGGAAGATGAGGCTGTCTATTCCCGTAAAGAGCCACAATCTCAGAGGCCAGGGGATCTGGCCTACCCTGTCCTAGAGGGTCACCATGAGTCAGAGTCGGCTTGATGGCAGAGGGCGGTTGGCATAATGTCGAAGCCATGGCACTCTGCGTACCACCCTTCACACTCGCCTTCAGCACTGCTAGGCCATGCATTTCAGGTCCCATACAGACTGCCAGGCCTTTCTTCCTAGTCCCTCTTAGTTTCAGTATCATAGCAACCAAAGCCTCCACTGCAGGCAGGTGGCAGCTACACATGAGGCACACGGGATCGCACCCGCATGGAAGGCTGGCATTCTACCACTGACCCACCACTGGCCCTGCCCACGAGTGATCGTTGGGGCATAGAGATGAGTTGAGATTCTATGGGGGAGAGTTCCCATGCCACTTTTTCCCCAGTTGCATGCACCCCGGGCCCCGAGGGCTGACGTGGCTCTCTGGGGCTCAGGGCAAGTACTTTGAGATCCAGTTCAGCAGAGGCGGGGAGCCGGATGGGGGCAAGATCTCCAACTTCCTGCTGGAGAAGTCCCGCGTGGTCTCGCAGAATGAAAACGAAAGGAACTTCCACATCTACTACCAGGTATGGTGTGTGTGTGTGTGTGTGTGTGTGTGTGTGTGTGTGTGTGTGTGCTGTGACCATGTCCACCCTCCAGCTGCTGGAAGGAGC